AATACGTGACTCCAGTCCTAGTCTTTCATTAAGGCGTGTTTTTAATTCATAGATTAGTTTTAGTTTACTACATTGTTCATCACAAACATATTGTGTCAATATTTCCTTCACGCAATTCTTAAAGGGATACTCTAAGTGCTAGGAGTACAAAGCTGCCCTCCCTCTCAGACACTTACTATCAGCCTCACCATCACTCCCTCTCAGACACTATCAGTCTCAGCCATCCCTCCCTCTCAGACACTTACTATCAGTCTCAGCCACCCCTCCCTCCCAGACACTATCAGTCTCAGCCACCCCTCCCTCTCAGACACTTACTATCAGCCTCACCATCACTCCCTCTCAGACACTATCAGTCTCAGCCATCCCTCCCTCTCAGACACTTACTATCAGTCTCAGCCACCCCTCCCTCCCAGACACTATCAGTCTCAGCCACCCCTCCCTCTCAGAGACTTACTATCAGCCTCAGCCATCCCTCTCTCTCAGGCACTAACTATCAGTGCTAGGAGTACAAAGCTGCCCCCCAACCCCAGGTAAATACAGGGTTAAAACCCTTTATTTACTCACATTTTCCCAAATGTCCCCCCTCCTGCTGCCCCATAGGAAAGCATTGCATCAATGGGTGTCTTCACGCTGGGTGTCCTCACGTTTTACATTGCAGCACTAAGTGCATTAGAGACACTGTATCCAGACCACCTCAACGAGCTGAAATGGTCCAGGGTGCCTATAGTGTCCATTTAAATTAGACAATGAACTGGCCACATGTGAATAAGTGGTATGGTCCATCTAATGGAGGCAGTTCGATAGAGTTGTATTGAACATCAATCAAGGCCTGATCCTGCTCATTATATCATTTGTTTTATTTTCTAGATTATACCCTCAACATAATGCAACATTTTAGGCAATTCTAGAACAAGAATAAAAAATCACTATTAAATATCCAATTTCTAGCATAATGGAGGCTACAACAATTCAATTGTATTCTTCAAATTGAGTAAAAATGTATATTTTAAGAATCTCCTGTGTTCTATTAGGTGAGAGTTGAAGGTTTATTTCTATATTTATCAGAATTCAGGAAACATTAATTGACTTCCCACAGACGTCCATGCTCTTCATGTGTATGAAACATGCAGCCGAGATCCATTCTATGTGATGGTACCTCTCAGACCGTCATCATTCTCGCTGGCGTCTCTGCCTCTATTTAGAACTTCTTCACTCTGAAAGATAAACCTTCTCGTTAACTAAATCGCTAGTGACGTCCACTGATTGGCTCCCAACACCCTCCAACTGAAGGCTCTGTCAAACCCCCCCCCCACTCCGCCGCGCTCAGATACATTCTACGCTACTTCCTTCTACCTATCATGCCTATCATATGCTTTATACATCACATCGTAGTGGTTATGGTACTTACAGTGTGCCTCTAACACTTTGCTTGTGTTATGTCCAGTGAAGAGATCAGCACAGACCTCCGGCTCACACTGATTTATCTGTTTAATGTCCCCTTTCTGTGTCGGCCGGCGATCTGCGATAGTAAATATCGTGGATCCTTTAAATGACAAACAGGTTTTATCACCGTTTAGTAAATGGAGCTGAATATGATGTTTGAAAATAGACTCAGTCAGTCAATTAACGGGCTAGTCTATGTAATCCTGACCATAAATAAAGGGGTTAAAACATCAGTTTTCTATAATAACATTCCGGCATTGATTGACCTGATATCTCCATTAAAATTACACTATAAATCGATAGAATTAGTCTTTTTCTCATTTTATTAAGACATTTGATTCTAACAACTAACTTTCTGTCTTTCTTCTTTTTCAGTAAATAGCACATTTTATAATCACACGTCTTTCGTTTTGGGGACACCCTTTGAAAATATGTGGGTTGGAATATAAACAGAAATGGATCAGGATTAAGGGTTTCCCGCAGCGAGTTCTCAGTAGGAAGGCAAGTCTTGCTTTGTGTCCAAGTAATACAGCTGCTGACCCGCTATCTGCTCTCAGATCCAGTCTGGAGAGCAGAGTCCTGCTCAGAGTCCTGCTGAGAAGAAGGCTTTAACATGGTCACTGCTGTCAGTGGAGGACCATGGGGGTGGGTGACAAACTAAATAAACATCCCGTGCCTGGCACTGCGCGTTCTTTTTCTGTTCACAGCATGAAATATGAGTTCTATGTTACAGGAAGTCAGCAGAAACTGAGCTATTTCCCAATAAAGCATGATGGTTGTTTTCCTGTTAAACCTGATATGACCAATTATGTGAACAGGCCCCAAATTAGACACACCGTGCATTATTGCTTGTTTGCTTATTGCTGTAAGAAGGGGATTCTGATGAAGAATCGGATTACGTGCCGTACATCTGGAAGTCTGCAATAATTCATCGTCCTGTCAGCGAGCACTGGAGACTACGGACAAGTTATGCTTCTATGGGTGGAGATGCAGTACGGATGGAGATGCAGTGCGAGTGGAGATGTAGTGGAAGTGGAGATCCAGTACGGGGAGATGGAGTGTGGGCGGGGATGCAGTACAGGTGGAGATCCAGTACGGGGGAGATGCAGTGCAGGCGGAGATGAAGTGCGGGTGGAGATCCAGTACTGGTGGAGATCCAGTGCGGGTTGATATGCAGTGCGGGTGGACATGTAGTGTGGGTCAGACTGCAGTGAGGGTCACAATTAGAGTTGAGCGGACATGTGGATAGGAAAATCACTTAAAATAACATAGAAATACAGCTGAGCCATAAAGTAGCACTAGATGGAATCTTTGATTTTAGCTTTGGAAGAACATAAATCATAATCTAAAGCATGGCTGTCAGGAGGATCACCAGAATTACCCATTTGAGAGAGGGTTGGAGTGCAGGGTATTCTCTTTCATTGTTCAAACTGAGCTCAACTCCTGATGCATGGAGAAAAGGCCTTCACAAGCCTCTGCTATGGTGTACATAGTTTATACTAAGTTACCCAAAGGTTGAGGAGGCGGTGACCGTGGCGGTGGAGGTGGAAGCAGCGGTGGAGGAGGTAGCCAACACTGTTTTATATATATATATATATTATTTTTTTTAATTGGGTAGCCCCCAAAATATTGGGACATATAAAAAAAAAGAAACATTTGCAGCCTGCGGTGCATTTCTTGTAGTCCTGATGCATGGAGAAATGCTCAACTCCTGATGCAAAAAAAAGGCCTTCACAAGTCTCTGCTATTGTGTACGTAGTTTATACTAAGTGACCCATAGGTTGAGGAGGCGGTGACCGTGGCGGTGTAGGTGGAAGCGGCGGTTGAGGATGAGGAGGTAGCCAACACTGTTTTTTATATTTATTTTTTTAAATTGGGTTAGCCCCCCAAATATTGGGACATATAAAAAAAGAAAACTCTGTTCCGCAGAGTGACTGACCTGTGCATGCTGCAGCTGAAACTCCACTATCGCCTGCTGCTGCTCGCACAGTCTCATGAGGCAGTGAGCGGGAAGGCCAAAGTTATGCTGCAGTGAGGCGAGCAGCAGCAGGGTGAGAACGCCAAAAGTGCACACAGACGGTCCGCACTTTCTGCAGCAGCTCTGATATATCTGGGTAGTTTTTGAGGAATTTCTGCACCACCAAATTCAGTACATGCGCCAGGCAAGGGATGTGCGGCAAACCGGCTAGGCCCAGAGCTGCTACAAGATTTTGCCCATTATCGAACACCACCAGGCCGGGCTTGAGGCTCAGTAGCAACAACATCTCATCGGTCTGTTGTTCCATGCCCGTCCACAGCTCCTGCGTAATGTGGGGTTTTTCCTCCAAACATATCAGTTTTAAAACAGCCTGCTGTCGTTTCCCCCTGGCTGTGCTGAAGTTCTTACGCTGACCAGATGAGGAGGTGGTAGAGGAGGAAGAAGCTGAGTAGGAGGAGGAGGCAACAGGAGGCAAAGCTGTGTACCCAAATAAAGATTGTCAAACGTTGTATCCTGGAACTGTGTCCCATCCGGTTACTGGGGAAATGGGTCTGACCTATTCTAATCAAAGGGGATAACCATCGGTTACCCAGGTCCCACTTCAATTGGTGGCAAGCGGCGGGATCCCATGTCCATGCCAACAGACCCATGGACTACAGTGCTGTAAAGCGACCTACACTGCAGAACTTGTGTGGAGCCAGAGGAATAATGCCTGGTGGGCGTAACAAGGCCGAATTGACTGCTGCGCTCATGGAGGACGACCATGCATGCAGTGAGGCAACGAACCCCAGCCAGGGGCTGGAGATGAGGAGGAAGTGCGCAAGGAGGTGTAATGGCGCCTGGCATATTACCGAAAGCCACCCTCAGAGGAGATTGTCAGCAGGTGCAAGCCTATGTCCTAGACAGAGGTCAACCTCCATGAACCCAGATGAAGGAAGAAGGCAGCAGAGGGCGCCGGGAAGCATAACCACACTGGCCCACAAGCTACCATACAATGCCTTCAAAGATTTCAAGGAAGCAGAAGAAGGCATTGATTACTTTTTACAAGACTTTGAGCGCCAGTGCCTACTCCAACACGTGGACTGGGTCACCATCCTGGCCAGCAAACTAGTGGGGAAGGCAGCGGATATTTACTGGGCTGTACCAGAAGAGCAGATCAGAGACTATCCCTTTATTACCGAAATCCTCCTGGCCCGGTATGCGGTCACCCCTGAGCAATACCGCCGAAAGTTTAGGGAGACCCAGAAAGGGGAGAAGGACTCCCATGCCGAGTGGGCATGCCGCAAGGGCCATCCAGAACTGGCTCAACTCCCATCAAGCCAAGTTCCTGGAGGAAATCACCCAGCTTGTCATGCTAGAGCACTTTTTCAATGGACTCCCCAACGGCAAGGCAACGACTCTTTTGTATGTCATCCATATCAACGTTCGATGCCATTTTCTGCGCCTACCATGGTGACCACGGTAACGGGGAATCAGGGTTCGATTCCGGAGTGGGAGCATGAGAAATGGCTACCACATGCAAGGAAAGCAGCAGGCATGCAAATGACCCACTCCTGAAGCGGGAAGGTAGTGATGACAAATAACAATACAGGACTCTTTAGAGGCCCTGTAATTGTAATGAGTCCACGTGAAATATTTTAACTCTGATCAATTGGAGGGCAAGTCTGGTGCAGAGCGACTGACCCGTGCATGCTGCAGCTGAAACTCCACTATGGCCTGCTGCTGCTCACACAGTCTCTCCTACATGTGCAAGGTGGAGTTCCACCTTGTGGGCACGCCGCATATGAGGCGGTGAGCGGGAAGGCCAAAGTTACGCTGCAGCGCAGACAGGTGAGCAACAGCAGGATGAGAATGCCGAAAGCGTGCACAGTCGCTGCAGTGAATGTCACATCCTGTTTCAAGTTGCGGATCAGTCTGGTGATGGCTTCTGGTATCCAGTACTCTTTTTACTGAAGCTGCATCAGGATCCTGGTTTGTGGCCGCACAAACGCTGGTGCTCAACACCAGGGGGGCGTGCGGTTACCCTGCACCAGACCCTGCTTATCCATTCCACACTGTGACTCCTAACTTCAACATCAGGCATACTGGGTCCCAGTCGTCCGACCGCCGCCCAGACACTGTCTGGGTCCCGGTCACCGGACTGCGAAACTGTGAATGGCTCCTTAAGTCTGTTATGGTTCCTTTTATCGCTCCATCTGTTACTTGGATAACTGTGGGAATTCTAAAGATAATACATGCCGATGAGTGCTAGGGGACGGCCGCTCCGCTTTTGCACCCTGCTCCCTCTTATGCTGTGTTGGTGCCTCTGTTGCGACCAGTGCCTCTTCCTCCAAACTGCACACATCACTCGCATGACCTTGATCCCATGTCGGGTCTAGGACCTCATCATCCTCCACATCATCTTCCACCCACTCCTCAACCCTGCCCTCCTTGCCGGTCTGCACACGGCAGAAAGCCACAGCAGTTGGCACCTGTGTTTTTCCAGCATGTAAACTCTGCAAAGGACATATGGAAATTGTTTTAGAATTGTATCCAGGCAACAGTTTTCCCTATAAACTGACCTCTCAGTTTGACTTGTGAGGGTATTGCCCCAGAATTACAATATTGTTATATTGGTATTTGACGGTTCTATTGGACTGTCAGATATGAACTGCAGGCCGCAAATGTACTATTTAGCATCCCAAAAAATTTGAATTGGTCAAACTGCGCTGTAACCATAGTATTTGACGGTTCTATTTGACTCTCAGATATGTGAAGTGCAGGCACCAAATTGACTTTTTAGCACCTAAAGAATTAGAATTTGTACAACTGCAATGTAAGCACAATATTTGAGGGTTCTATTTGACTGTCAGATACGAAGTGCACCGCAGGCCGCAAATGTACTATTTAGCAGCCAAAAATTTGAATTTTTAAAACTGCTATGTCACAGCACTATTTGCCGGTTCTGTTTGACTCTGATATGAAGAGCATGCCCCAAATTTACTATTTAGCAGTTTAGCACCAAAACAATTAGAATTTTTACAACTGCGCTGTAACCACAGTATTTGATGGTTCTATTTGACTCTCAGATATGAAGTGCAGGGCCCAAATTTACTATTTAGCACCAAAAAAAATTTATTTTTAAAACTCTGATGTAACCGCAGTATTTGAAGCTTCTATTTGACTCTCAGATATGAAGTGCACCCCACTAATGTACTATTTAGCAGAACTCTTTCCTAATCTGTCCCTCACAGCAGCAGCATCCTCTCCCTACACTAATAAGAACTCATGTGCGTGCGGCGCAACGCGACTCCAGCTTATATATAGAGGCTGGGTCACATGCTGCACTGGCCAATCACAGCCATGCCATTAGTAGGCATGGCTGTGATGGCTTCTAAGGGCACACGAGTCAAACGCTTGTTGATTGGCTGCCCAGCATCTTTTCAAAACGCGCCATTAAATCGCTGTACACCGAGCTCCAACCCGAACATACAGTGATATGTCCGTGTTCAGGTCCGGGATCCAAAAAACGTAATGTTCGATACGAACCCGAACTTTACAGTCCGGGTTCGCTCAACTCTAGTCACGATGCAGTACAGGTAGGTATGCACAATGGAAGACAAAATTAACAAATCACGTAAACTGTTTTTTTTTTTGCAACAGCACATGTAAGAAAGGTTGAACTTGATGATTGCAAGTCAACAATGTAAGGAAGCACTCAAAACTAAAATTCTAATTTGTTTCATTCATTAGTTAATTCGTGCAAAATGGGTCCTATTATTGGGATTACTAACCCATATTTTAGGGTACCTCCACTAGTTAATAGCTCCCTCATTTGTCATCCCTAAATATGTCAACCCCTCAGATTTCACTTTCTAAACCAAAGAAGGATATGACTGTGATCGCGGCATTCCATTCGTCCAAATGGAAATTTGGAACTGAAAATAACTGACAAATTTTGTCCAAAATTGATTGACTAATGGCTGAAATTTATTTGCATTACAATTTGTTCTGAAAATTCGCATCAAGCGCAAATTTAATAGTGACAGAATAATACTTAATAACTGATATAGGCATCACACATAGGCCTCAATTTAAAATTGTTGGATACATTTTCCAAATAATTTCATATTTTTGGATAAACATTTATATCTGAGCGGGAACCCACCGAAGGGAAGCTACTTGTCCGAGTTGTAGTCTGTTCTCACCATTCCCTGGCACCCTGTTTATTTGCTCTTCAAAATATTAAAATATAATAACATATATCCTACGTAAAAAATATGTATTTAAAAAAAAAAAAACATTAAAAAAAATCTAAAACAATTTTAAAAGTTTATCCAAGTATATAAAATCATTTGAAAAGCTTATTTGAAAATATTAAATAGGGGTGTCATAGTCAGTATGGGACCATTAGTTCACAGAACGTCAGTCTTGAAACAGAATGAATGCTTTGGGGGTTATATAAAGTCTTCAACTTTTCCTGGTAACTTCAGATTTAATTGGAATGAGCCGACATGTGCAAGGACAGTGTGACATAAAGGCATATTCCCATTGAATCAGCTGCTATAATCAATATATCCAGGGGACTAAATGGCAGACAGAACTGTGAACGATCGCTGTCTTAGTTTAGCAAACAAGATGTTGCTGCAGATATGTTGAGAACAGAATTCTGTCTGTGTTTGACAATGAAATTATCTGCATTTGATTTGTAGTTCACATTCAAAGTGAAAAGACTAAACACATTGTCCTGGTCTCAGGACAAATAAAAAAAACGCCTCACTTCAGGTAAACTAAAATTACTAAGAAAGTAAAATAAACATACATTTTTCAAACCCTAGACCTTTACTAAACATGCATGGCTAACGTAATACTTTCAACGAGGCAGAGTTTAGTCTCAGATGGTCTGTGCAGAATTGAGATATAAACACACATACCTCAACACAGATAGGAACTGACAAAGGCCAACACTATGGACCTCCATGACATGAATAGACACGAGTCCTAGAACATCTAGATTAACCGGAGGTACTTTGACCTCTTTTTTTTTTTTTTACCAGCTCCTAAAAGGAGTACAGAGGGTAAATAAATATAAACAGTGTAACAGCACCCCGGGCATAAAAGGGGTTAAATGGAGATATTCCCTTCCAGATATACAGACGGCTACTGAAGACACCAATCCGCCGAACAGGAGAAACCATACGAATGCTCCAAACCATACGAATGCTCCAAACAGCTGAACAGAAAAAAACATTCGAATAGGTTTACACTCCTAGCAGTCGAACAGGAAAAGCATAAGAAATCAATTCCCCCAAGTACGAGACAAGACTCCGTATTGAGGGTCAAGCAGAGATCTGTGTAATCTTGGCTACCTGCCCGGTATTTATGCAGGTCTTCCACCAGGTGGACACTCCCCTAGGGGATCTGGTGGAAGACTGGGACAAAAATAGTCAAATGACCAATCACAGACATACACAGTTAAACACTCCCTGTCAGGATTACAGAATGAGCCAGCACGTAGAATTGTATAACACAGAGGACTGATAGGTAACATATACCGGACTTAGAAAGGCCGGTCTAACGTACCAAAGAATAGTCAGGAATAGCCAAGGTCAAGGGAAACAGAAAGAGACACAATGATAAGGAAAAGCCAGGAGTCAGGGATGCCAGAAAACAGGGAAGTCAAAAACAATGCCAAAGTCAAATAACCAGAATTACCAGAATCAATAACGTGCTCTCGGACAACCACAAGGGAAACCACGACAGGGCACTGAACAGGATGAGAACTGGACCGAAATACCCCTCCTCTAGATCTGATAGGCTGTAACCGGCCTTTGACCCCAAAGCAGTTACCAGGTTCCCATTTTCATAATTGCTGCTCAGCATTAACCCTTCTGTGGATTTGGTTGCTGCTCGGCACAACTTTTCCTGTGTGGACAGTAAATGTCATTAACCACATTTTTTTAAACGGATGAATACGTGACACTCCCACAGGTACATTATAATCCCTCTTCTCTTTCCTGGAGATCATTGGGAAGTAACTCAATTATCTCCGAGGATAGAGGCAAAACTCCATTATACACATGGCAATAAAAGACATAAAAATACACAATTATAACATATACATTCAACATATCCCCAGATAGCTTAGATCTAAGCGCACATTATTACCAAATGGCGCTCAGATCACATACATACAGTTCAATCGCCATGGAGCCAAAGTCTTTCATGTAGTCTTTCGTTATACGAATGGGCTCCATGGCATTGCTGTCTGGGGTAGTTCTGTTCGTCTGTTTAATGTCCCGAACGGTCCGTCATTTGTATGAATGAATGAGATATGAGAAGGGAGGTCGGCGGCTTCAGCGGTGTTCGTGAAGAAAAGTGTCCATTTTCAGTTCCAGAGTTTTGTAGCTGAACAGTTTAAAATGGCCGCAGCCACGTGTTCGGCTATACGAACAACGGCCACCCAGCGTTTGTCAATTAACCGCAGCTTCTGGGAGGTAAATTGTTGGCACGCTCCTTACCCAGGTGGTCCGGACATTCGTCTGTTTGTTCGGTAAATTCAATTTACCGAACACCCTTGCAGAAAGTCACGAACAAGCCTTTCTGCATGGAGAAATAAAGGTTTTCACATGGGGGCCATAATCCTGGGGCAGCAGGCGGGCAACCAGGCTTCTCCAGAACATAGTGGCGAGGTTGGTTTCGCCACAACCAGAATGGGCCGGCAA